GGCTGACCTTAATTTCCACTTTCTTCACAGGTTGAGTTCATACCACATGTCCCAGCCCCCCTCTTCTCCACACCACTCTCAATAAATCACATTGTTAGCATAGGCTTTCTGACAGGGCCTAAAGTCTCCAGGTAAATAAAAACACTATTATCAGTCATAACATTCCAGAGGTTTAGAGATTACTCCCCAGAAGCCAAGGGCAAAGGCCAGACCTCAGTCATAGTAGTGAGATCAGTCAACGCTCCCTGATCTCTTGGTCCCAGCTATGCTGGTAACCTGTGAAGTCCACCTGTGGATCCCTGCCTCTTGCCCCCCTCCACATCCTCAAATAATTTTGTAAGCACCCAGTTCCTTGCATTCAATCACTTTGAATTGGAATGTACAGAGTAAAGAATTTGTTTCTGGCACTGAAAAAAAGAAAGAGGGAGAGAGAGAGAGAGAGAGAGAGACAGAAAGACAGAGGGAGGAGGGAGGGAGGAAAGAAAAGAAAAAGAAAGAAAGACACCCAAATACACAAAAATTTAGTAACTGGAAAAGAGAACATTTTGATTCAAAGGGAAAAAGACCCCATCCCCCCCCCACCTCCACTCCAGCAACCCTCAGTTTGTTTTCTATAGTTAAGAGTCTCTAATGGTTTGCTTCCATCTCTGTTTTCATCTTTTATTTTTCTTCCCTTCCCCTATGTTCATCTGTTTTGTTTCTTAAATTCCACATGAGTGAAATTATATGATATTTGTTTTTCTGTGACTGACTTATTTCACTTAGCATAATACCCTTTAGTTCCATCCATGTTGCTGCAAATGGCGAGATTTAATTCTTTTTGATGGCTGAGTAATATTCCATTATGTATATACATATATGTATACACACACATACACACACAGTACACACACATGCTTATATATGTGTGTGTATACACACACACAGACACACCCACACACATACCACATCTTTATCCATTCATCTGTCAATGGACATTTGGGGGCTTTCCATATATTGGCTCTTGTAGACATTGCTGCTCTAAACATTGGGGTGCATGTGGCCCTTTGAATCACTATGTTTGTATCCTTTGGATAAATACCTAGTAGTGCAATTGCTGGGTTGTAGGGTAGCTCTATTTTAGGTATAGTTCTTTTTTTTTAAGATTTTTATTTATTTATTCATGAGAGACAGAGAGAGAGAGAGAGAGAGGCAGAGGGAGAAGCAGAGGGAGAAGCAGGCTCCCAAGGAGCAGAGAGCCCGATGAGGGACTCGATCCCAGGACTCTGGGATCATGACCTGAGCCGAAGGCAGACGCTCAACCATCTGAGCCACCCAGGCGCCCTTAGGTATATTTCTGATTATGTTTCATTATCTCTCTGTTTACTCATGTTCCATTACCAAGCTGTCTTAAGTATTGTCACTTTTTAAATTAATTTTTATTATCTGATGAGAGTAGGTCTTTTTTAAATACTATTCTTTTTCAAAATGTTTATAACTATTCTTAAATGTTCATTTTTCCATATGAACTTTATAATCAACCTATCTAGTTAAAAGAAAAATATTTTTGAAATAATAGCAGACTTAACTCTCCAACCCTTAGCAGCCACTGATCTACTTTCTGTCTCTATAGGCTTGCCTATTCTGGGACATTGTATATGAATGGAGTCGTATAATATGTGGCCTTTTATGTGACTTCTTAGCACAGTGCTTTCCAGGTTCATCCATATTGTAATATGTGGCCTTTTATGTGACTTCTTAGCATAGTGCTTTCCAGGTTCATCCATATTGTATCATGTATCAGTATTTCATTCCTTTTTTGAATAATATTCCATCATATGAATATACCACATCTTTTTTATCTGATTATCAGTTGATGGACATTTGGGTTGTTTCCAGTTTTTGGCGATCATGAATAATGCTATGAACATTCATTTACAAGTTTTTGTATAGACATATGTTTTAAGTTTTCCTGGGTATATACCTAGGAATAGAACTGCTGGGTCATATGGTAACTCTATGTTTAACCTTTTGAGGAACTCTGACTATGATTTTCTGAAGCAGCTGCATCTTTTTACATTCCTACCAGTGTTGTATGAGAGTTCTCATTTCTCCATGTCCTTGCCATCACTTGTTCTTGTCCATCTGTTTAATTATAGCACCCATTAATATTTCTAAAGGTATTTATGAGAAACTGATGTTGAATTTTAACCAATGCTTTTTCATCTTATATGGAGATTATGAGAAGTTTTTTTTTGTTCTGCTCTCTTGACTGTGAATTATAATAAATAGATTTCTAATATTAATGATGTTGATTTTGACTAGTTGTCAACTTGGATTTGTTTTCTTTTGTTAGAAAATTACTTAGTAGACATGTAATTGTTTCATAACAACTAAAAATTCCACTGAGAACTTTAAAACTACTTAATATGCATGTTCAGAGTAAAAGAGTTCTGTTTTCCTGGTGACTTCACTTGAATATCCTTATTTCAAGATGAGTTACATCTAAGCTTTCATAGCTTAAATATTTTGCTTTCATGTTTTGTAAAATATTAAAAAATTCTGCCTCCTTCCAAATATGGGTAAGTTTTCAGATTTTTTTTTTTTTAAAGATTTTATTTATTTGAGAGAGAGACACAGTGAGAGAGGGAACACAAACAGGGGGAGTGGGAGAGGGAGAGGGAGAAGCAGGCTTCCTGCCGAGCAGGGAGCCTGATGCGGGGCTCGATCCCAGGACCCTGGGATCATGACCTGAGCAGAAGGCAGACGCTTAGCGACTGAGCCAGCCAGGTGCACCAAGTTTTCAGATTTTTTAATGGGGAAAGTAGAAGTTAGTTCATTTTAGTTTCTTTTGCCTGGGTATTTATGGTAGATGGGAAGATCACATATTTGGTAGTACTAGTCATAATTTCTGGTACAATTTTAGTAAAAAACATGGGTACATAAAAGGTGTATGCGTGTGTGTGTGTGTGTGCATTTATTTAAAAATGAGGGCTTAAATTTTTTTTAAAAATGGTAGGAATTCTTACTAAAATATCAGAAAATAATAGAAAGCAAATGAAGAAAGTTGAAAGCCTGTAATTCTGTTACCCAGAGAAAACTTAATTACTATTTTGATGTGTGTGTGTTATATAAAACAGTATATAAATGCATAGAGTGTATTTATATATGCATATATAATGCATAGTTTATATGTTTTAAGGACAGTAGACTAATTGTATTTTAAAGGACTGTGTTAAATGCTTTAAAATGTGCAGTACCCCTAAGGAAAAGGGTCTTGCTGTACTTTATGTTTTCCATTTTTTTACTGTAGTAAAATATGTATGACATAAAATATACTGTGTTAGCCATTTTTAAGTGTACAGTTTAGTGGTATTAAGTACTTCATATTGTTCTGCAACTATCACCATCATCTATCTCCAGAACCCCTCATCTTGTAAAACTGAAACTATACTGGTTAAATAATGAGTCTTCTGATCCTCTCCTTCCAACCCCTTGCAACCTCTGTTCTTTCCATCAATATGATTTTGACTACTCTAAGTACCTCATATAAATGGAATCCCAGAGTATTTGTCTTTTTGTGACTGACTTCATTCAGCATAATATCCTCAAGGTTCATCCTTGTTATAGCATATGTGTTGGTATTTCCTTACTTTTTAAGGCTAAATAACAGTTATTCACTCAAAACAAATGTAGTAAGATTTTAAATAGTAGTTTTTCTTATATAAGAAATGAATAGTCATGTTGGTAAAGTTTAAATAATTGTTAAAGTGGAAGCTTTGGCTTAAATTGTCTTTTTTTTTTTTTCCAATCCCACCCTTTTCTTTATATTTTTCACATTTTATTCTGATATTTCTGCCTTAGTGAAATGCTTTTAAGAGTACAGATGCCTGGCTCCTAATAGAAAAGTCTTAAGCTAAATTGTCAATATTACCAAATTTCATTGACTACTTTGCCTATGGTTTATAAGGTGTACTGTTATTTCATGTACTGTTAAGGTAGAAGAAAATACTGCTAATCGTTATTAAAAGATGAATCCCAGTATCATAAATGTTAAAATGTGAAAAGTGTTACCGTAGAATCTATAAAATATAATACATGTATGGAAAGGGTGCACCCATCATACCACATTTAGTGGCCTTGTACTTTGTTTTGTAACTCTTGTTACAAAGGACTGGAATGAAGGAATTGATTTGACTATTTTTCATGTTGCTAAGCTGATCAAAATTTGATTTTCTTCTTTTTTAAAAGTTTTATTCATTTTAGAGAGAGAGTGAGAGAAAGAGAGCGTGTGGTGGGGGCAGTGGGAGAGACAGTCTGAAGCAGACTGTGCACTGAGCGTGGAGTCCCATGTGGGGCTCGATCTCATGACCCTGAAATCGCCACCTTAGCCAAAACCAATAGTCAGACATGTAACTGACTGTGCCACTCAGACACCCCTGACTTTTTTAAATAAAGATTTTATTTTTAAGTAATCTACACCCAACGTGGGGCTCGAACTTACAACCCCGAGATCAAGAGTTACATGCTTTACCATTTGAGCCAGCCAGGTGCCCCCCAAATTTAATTTTAACTTTGTTTTCTATAGTTCCCTCTACATTGGTTAAGTTCAATGAACATTTTTAGTGCCTACTATGCATTAGCCACTGTCATAAAAGTAGTTAACATATATAGTTTTACTGTGTGCTAGACAGTGTTATGAGCACTTACTATATTTTAATTAAGTAAATTTTACACTATCTCTATGGTGTGAATACTGTTACTATCCCATTTTGAGGCACAGAGAAGTCAAGTGACTTGACCAAGGTCATACAGCTAGTACATGGTGGAGGCAGGATTTGAATGTTTGATTTGATTTTCTGACTCCAGAGATTTTTGTCAGCAGTACCTAGGAACATAAATGAATAAAATATTGTCCTTTCCCTGAACACAGTTTACCAGGTAGTATCTGAGGGTGGTTGATAAATTTACATAAAATTATTGTTATACTTCTAGTAATGAATTTTTATTTGTGTTTTTAGGACATTCAGTCAGAAGAAGGCTGCCATTGAAAGAGAGTATGCACAGGTAAGCTTGGAAATTGAGGTGACCATTCTAGGTATACCTCTTCTTTGGCTTAAAGGCAGATATGGTTGTTGGAGAGAAACTTTGTTATCCCGGCATCCTGTTTTTCTTTTTAATTCTGGCTATCTCACTTTGATCCTCCTTTTACTCCATTTGAATCTCTAGATGAGGAGGTAAGTTGCTCCTTACTACACTGAAGGTTACGAACCTTTGGAGAGAAGATAATATTTATAGAATTTGTAAAGTATTTACAAGTGTAAATAAGGCATACATTTTATAAGTATATATACTTGACCCTTGAACAACATGGTTTTGAACTGCATGGTTCTGCCTATATATGGGGTTCCCCCCCCCCCAGTAAATTTATGTACAGTTTTGTAAGTGTATTTCTTCTTCCTCAGTTTTCTTACTAACATTTTCTTCAGGGGTTACTTTTTTGTAAAAATACAATATATAATACATATACAGAATATGTGTTAATTGACTGCTTATATTATCAGTAAGTCTTCTGGTCAGCAGTAGGCTTTTAGTAATTAAATTTTTAGGGAGTCAAAGTTATATGTGGATTTCTGACTACATTGGGGGTTGGCACCCTTAATCCCCGCATTGTTCAAGGGTCAGCTGTATATTCATTCTCTTATATATCCTATTCTCTGCAGTCTTATAGAAGGTTAATTTTATTTTATCCAGTTAGGCATTGATTTCTATTTAGGTCCCTGTTGATAGAGAATGATGTTCTTTCAATGGATGGTGTAATGCTATTTCTAGGGAAATTTAAGCATTTCCTTCCTTTATTTTAATTCAAATCTTATTTGCCCCCAGATAACTAAATGTGCCAAGAAAAAATTATGTTGGTAAATAATTTTGTAGATATGTTAAGAATTAATAACTACCTTTCCTTGTATAAAAACAGTTTGACATGATTTGGAAATTTTGGCCCTTGTAAGCAATTACTTTCCATGTGGAATAGCATTCTAAAATTGATGTCCTCCCACTCCCAAAATTATAAATGTCAGGTTTTGATTTTAGTTTTATTCTGATTTTACTGTAGTTAACAAGGTAACTATTTTATTTGGTAATCTTAGAAGATAATTATCTATTTCTTGAAAGCTGGATAGACTCATTAATTAGTTAATTCAGTCATTAGTTATTGAGTGCTTATTTATCAGGTACTTTACATAATGAATTAGTGTCAGTTCTAATAATTAGTGTTGAACCTTATTCTATGCAAATATAATGATAGCTAAAATTTATTGAATCCGTGTACTAGGGATTTTGCTGATTATTTTACATAAATTATCTGATGTAATCCTCTCAATAAACCTGTGAAATAGGGCAGTTATTACGCCTTTTACAGATATGTTTCCACTGGGACCAAAGTATATGATCTCTTAAAATTTATATGAAGTGAAAATTTTTGTATGATAAATTTGTCTGGAACATGATTTAAAGTTCTAATAATCAAATAGGACAGGCTCATGATTAAAAATACAAGACAGTACATTAAATTGCATGAAGATTAGCAGTCCTTTGTCCCAACAGCAGTCAGTATCCTCAGAGAAAAGATTAAAAGTAGATGACTATTTTGGTTCTCCTGGTGATCATTTCCATATCTTTAAATAATGTGCTTATAACTGATTCATGATTTGTCAACTCTAGACATTATTGCTGGATTATTTTTTATAATAAATAAGAAATTAGCTTCCTAAGTCATTCCTTTTGGCCTACTCTTTCCAATGTAATTTGGCACTATTTTAGTACCTTTGTTATTTTTCTAACTCTAAATGGTATGGACTTTTATCTCTTGTTCTATTAAGTGCATATATATATATATGTTTTTATGTGTGTTTATAACATGTATTTATGTTATTTGTATGTAGATATATGTATTTTTGTGTATATATGTATGTATGTAGTACAGTGGAATTGCATCTACAGAGCAATCTAATTTATTCTTGAAAAATTTTTTTAAGTGTCCTTTAAGTAAATTATACCTGGTTTTGTTTATACAATTCTATATAATAATGTATAAACTGTATAATATACCTAATGTATATTTTAAAATTTCATAGAATAATAATATTCAGAAATTAAAGTGTTCCACTGTCTCTCTGCTTGGGACAAGTGAGCACATTTATGGAGAGTCAGTGTGCAGATTCTTCTTGTTATTTGTCATATTTACTTTTTAGGTGATTTTTCTCAGTTCTTCTTACTCTTCAGTATTTTTCCAATTAATTTTTCAATTTATTTCTTGATGATATAGACGAAGTATCTACACTCTTTTCTTTTTTTTTTTTTTTAAAGATTTTATTTATTTGACAGAGAGAGACACAGCAAGAGAGGGAACACAAGCAGGGGGAGTGGGAGAGGGAGAAGCAGGCTCCCCGCAGAGCAGGGAGCCCGATGCGGGACTTGATCCCAGGACTCTGGGATCATGACCTGAGCTGAAGGCAGTCGCTTAACCAACTGAGCCACCCAGGCGCCCTACACTCTTTTCTTAAGTGTTTTTACATCTTATCAATAGTAGAGAAACCCCTCAAATGACTAACATTCTAGCTGTGGTTTTTGCTAGTATGTGCTAATTTAAAGATTTTTTTTTTTTTTTTTTATTCATGAGAGACAGAGCAAGAGAGAAAGGCAGAGGGAGAAGCAGGCTCCCAAGGAGCAGGGAGCCCGATGCGGGACTCGTCCCAGGACCCTGAGATCATGACCTGAGCCGAAGGCAGACGCTTAACCATCTGAGCCACCCAGGCGCCCTGTATGTGCTAATTATGTCAGGTTTATTACTTGCATTTGCTGTCTGAGGGACATACACTCATTGGTGATGGGATGTGGTCAGAGAGGACAGCTGGACTGTTTACATTATTTCTTTTTTTTTCTTTCTCTGGCTCAGTATAGGGGTGAAATTTTGGGGGGTAGATTTTAAAAATTGAAATACGGGTGCCTGGCTGGCTTAGTTGGTAGAGCATGCAACTTGATCTTGAGGTCATGAATTCAAACCCCACATTGTGTGTTGAGGTTAAAGGAAAAAGATTTAGAAATTGAAATACAGCATATATACAGTAAGATGGACAAATCTTGAGTATACTGTTTGATAAATTTTTATGAAGTGAACACAGTCCTGTAGCTACTATTCAGATTAAGATGTAGAACATTACCAGGGTCCAAGAAGCAGTCATTACTCCTACCTTCCAGTGGTAACCAGTACACAGATTCTTATCAGAATAGTTACCTTTGGATTGTTTACTGTTTTTGAATTTAAATTAAATGGTATCATGTACTGTGTACTCTGATTTCTTTCATTCACCATTAAGTTTTGAGTTTCATATATGTTGTTGTGTGTAGGAGTAGCTTACTCTTTTTCATTATAATATCCACTGAATGACTATATCACAATTTGTTTTCCAGTTTACTGATGATTAAAATTTGAGTTGCTTCCAGTTTTGGATGATTTTGACTGTTGCTTCTAAGGAAAACTGTTGTACATGTTTTTTGGTGGACATATGGATGCATTTCTGTTAGGTAAACACCTGGGAGTAGAACTGCTGGGTCACCGGGTATATATGTATGTTAGCACTTTAATAGTTACAACTGGTTTTCCAAAGTGATTATACCAGTTTACATGATGCTCAGCAGCAATGTATGAGAGTTATAGTTGCTCCACATCTTTGCCAACACTTGGTATTGTCTAAAATTAAAAAGTGACATTCTGATGAATGTATAGTAATATCCTATTTTTTTTAATAAGCTGTTTAAAAATTGATATATAACATGTGTATAGAAAAGTGTATAGATCCTAGGTACAGCTCCATGAATTTTCAAAGTGAACACACCCATATAACTAGTACCCAGGTCAAGAAACAGAACATTAACACCACCCCAAAAATCCCTCTTGTGCCCTCCCCCTTTACTGCTCTCACTCTTACACAAGTATTCACTATACTGACTTTTTTCTTTTTTTAAAAGATTTTATTTATTTATTTGACAGAGAGAGACACAGCGAGAGCAGGAACACAAGCAGGGGGAGTGGGAGAGGGAGAAGCAGGCCTCCCGCTGAGCAGGGAGCCCGATGTGGGACTCGATCCCAGGACACTGGGATCATGACCTGAGCCGAAGGCAGACGCTTGACGACTGAGCCACCCAGGCACCCTATACTGACTTTTTTCTTAAACAGCCTTCGGGGTGCCTCGCTGGCTCAGATGGTAGAACTTGCAACTCCAGATCTCGGGGTTGTGAGTTTGAGCCCCACGTTGGGTGTAAAGATTACTTAAAAATAAAATCTTAAAAAAACAAAAACAAAAACCCAGCCTTATTGAGTTATATACTTGTGAAACTATCATCACAATCAAGATAAGAACATGTCTATAGCAACCAAGAGTTTCCTCATGTCTTATTATAATCTCTTCCTGTCACTCACCCCTGATTGTCTTTTCCCCATTATCACTCAGGCAATCACTAATCTACTTTTTATCACTATAGATTAGTGTGCATTTTTTCTATATAAATGGGATTGTATGGTATGTACTCTTTCTTATCTGGCTTCTTTCATCAGCATAATTATCTTATTATGTTGTGTGTATCAATAGTTCATTTCTTTTTTTTGTGCTGAGCAATATTCTCTTGTATGCATATACCACAATTTATCCATTCACGTCTTTTTTTTTTTTAAAGATTTTATTTATTCACTTATTTGAGAGAGAGAGAGAGCACATGAGAGGGAGGAAGGTCAGAGGGAGAAGCAGACTTCCTGCTGAGCAGGGAGCCCGATGCGGGACTTGATCCCGGGACTCCAGGATCATGACCTGAGCCGAAGGCAGTCGCTTAACCAAATGAGCCACCCAGGTGCCCCTATCCATTCACATCTTGATGGACATTTGAGTTGTTTTTATTTTTAGGTATTATAAATAAAGCTGCTGTGAACATTTTTGTGTGGACAGATGGTTTCATTTCTCTTGGGTAAATACATAGGAGTAGAATGGCTGGGTCTTCTGAAGTAACTGCCA